TCATCAGCAAAATGGCCTTTACCTCGTCTCTTTCCTTTTCCTTTTCCACGAGGTCTGAAGAATCTACGGCCTGATCTTCCTTTTCCTTTTCCTTTTCTTCTACCTTTTCCTTTGCCTTTTCTGGCTCTTCTTCCTTGGAATCTCCTTTGGAACCACGAGAAGTTTTGATCATCATATACCCAAAAGACATCGTCCAGGGCATCTAAAAATCCTTCTGTTCCATCTTCTTCATCTTCGGCCCAATAGCCAAATGTACCATCGAGTTCTCCTTCGTCTAGTACGAGAAATGATCTTCTACCTCCAGCACCTGTCGGCTGCATCAATGGATTGTCTACTGAAGTCTTTGTCGTGCAGAACATCTCGATGAAAACTGTCCTCAGCTCTGTTGTAGTGTATTGCTGCAGGTACCTGCCACGATGAGTCATCAACGAAGTCAAAGTGTTTCGCTGGTCCTGAGACAAATCTGCAAGGGACAGCATGAGTAGGGCAATGAGATTCTCTCCTAAAGGAAAATCATTCTGATGAAGAATTCTCATATTGCCATTGACATTCTGCATGATTTCCTGAATCCTTTCTGCCGTTGGTGCTACTCCAGTCAACGCTGCATCTGCCTGCATCTGAGCAAGGACTTGGGGATGTGCTTGAGTGACTGGTTCTAACATGTCCATCCAACTGCTCATAAGCCTTTGGAGTAAAATCTGGAATCTTGTCATCCATTTCATCATGTCGGCTGATCCTCGATTGAATCGCACGAATTGCATAAACCTGTATAGGAATACATTGGTTGATCCTTTCACGAAATATGGTCGTAGTACTCGTTTGAAGTAATCTACTCCTGCTCCTGGTGGCTCATTAGCCTTCAATGAATCTCTGTCTAAAACACGTTTGTATACTGCTGCTTCTCCTTCTAATCTGTTTCTCAAAGCTGGTCCTCTCTTCTCATCTTCCAGCTCGGTGATATCACACCAATCGTCTATGGCATCCTCATAGGAAAACCATGAAGTCTTTCCATCATAAGATGGGGGCACCTTTGTAGTGACCCGTGTTGTCATTGCTATTGCTGCTGGTTCTCTTCTCACATGCCTATTCACATAGGCTGCTGGCTCATAAGCCACATCCGCATCAGGCTCTTCCCAGTCGTCTATCCAATCCATGGCTGTTTGCCCACTAGCAATTCTATGCCTAGGAAAGGAGCTCACCTGGGTCTTCCAGGATCACTGCTCCGCTACCATTGAAAGAGTGACTAGGGCGTACACGGTAGAGGTGCAGACCGCTAGTGTCTTTTGCTCACGCAGAGTCTTATCCTTGAGGTCCATTGACCTTCTCTTGAGCCTTATGGCAGTCAAGCATGGACACACTAGATAGGCCACTGGAGTGGAACCTGTACAAGTAAGCCTCTACATTTCA